TGTTCACGTGGATGGTCTCGAGCCGCTTCCACGCTTCATGCGCCGACGCTTCGAGCTTGATGCACATGCGCACCGAGCTCACGAGATTGATGCCGATGCGCGAAATCAACGTAGCGAACGCCTTTTGGTCCTTCTTCTTCCATGCCGCGATGTCGCTCTCGTCGTCCGGCTTCTTCTCCGTTCCATCGAAGAATCCCCAAAGTCCCCGCTCCATGATGAGCACTTGGAACTTAAACTTCCACGCGGGGTAATTTTGTCCCGTGAAAATCGGTACCGCCGACGTGTCGAACATCGTCGCGGTTGCCCAGGGTTCGCCGGTATTTACAACGACACCATCCAAGGAAGTGCGGGAGGCCTCGCTTGACGTCATCATGCTTGCTCCTTGTCGCGCGCGTAGACTCCTCCGACCAGCTCTGATACCACTGATGTAAAGGACTCTCCTCTACTTTGCAGGAACTGGGAATTGTTCTAAGCAGTAGAGCACACTCTTGGCTTTCCAAGGAGCCGTAGAACACGTAATTCGCCCAAGTATCGGCTGAGATACGGCTTTCAACGTGCTAGGTAGTGCTCTAAGATTGAAGGATAGAAAGTCTCTGGATTTTGTGTCGAGTTGAACTGTGTATAGAAAACTCTGATTTTCAGTATATCATGCATACAAAGCAATCACAATATATAGCTACTCAAAACATCGAGTCGCGCATGTAACATACGAGATGCATCGAGAACATTCGCGTAACAATTCGAAGGGGTGAAATTCGGCACCCGAATTTCACCGAACCGAATTCTTCCTTAGTCTCGATCCTTCTTGTGTTGCCATGTGGCACCAATTGAGTGGGTCTTCCAAAGTCAACCCACACACTTCGTGAAACCTGCAGCTCTCTCAAGCGGTGAGCACCGAAACACATTCGGTGGGTTGGGGGCATATCAATTGCCCCACCACCGTTTGCTTCTAACTCACGCGACCTCCAACATCTTTGCAAGTTGAGTGACGGAGAGTAGATTCACCTTCAATCCCGGGACGTGAAGCACGTTCGTGATGTCCACCGGCCCGCCATCGACGATGAGACGCGTACTCCCAACTCCAACCACCAGTAGCGATTTATCGTTCCCGAAGACGACGCGCTTGACGTCTCCCGGAGCACCGACGTTGTTGAGGAGCGACGCCGAGTGCGTCATGTGTTGTGTTGCACCGGTGTCGAGGAACCACGCGTCGTTTGAAGTGTTGATCCCGTCACCGGCCAACAAAACGAGCGACTCCGTTGAATCATCCGCCTCGCCGGATGCCGTGTGCGCATTGCCCTCTTGGTTCCGCGCCTTCGATGGAATCCAATCGCTCGGCCGCTTCCGACATTCACGCCAAAAGTGCCCCGCTTTGCGACAATAATGACACTTGCTCGAACCGTTCGATGCGTTGCCCTTGCCGCGACCGTTTCCACCGGACGACTTCTTTGCCTCACCGTTGCTCCACTTGGACTTCTTTCTGGAGCTCCCTGCGGAGAACATGGCGGTCTCCACGCTCTCGTTAGCGAATTGTCGGCGTCGCGATTCTTCATGGAGAAGCCGACCGACCACCATTTCCTTCGTCCAAGTGTTTTGCACGCTATCGAGTGTCGTAATCACCGTCGACCACTCTTCCGGAAGGCCGCAAAGCAAGGTGAGAATCCAATCCTCCTCCGTGACCGTTCCACCGAGGTCCATGAACGTTTCCCCGAGTTCCTCCACACGAGTCGCATACTCGTGCATCGATTCGCCCGCGCGCAACTTCACCGTGTAGAACGCATTTCAGGCTAGGATCTTGCCGTGGAGAGTCTTGTTCACGTGCATCGTCTCGAGCCGCTTCCATGCTTCACGCGCCGAAGCTTCGAGCTTGATGCACGTGCGCACCGAACTCACGAGGTTGATGCCGATGCGCGAAATCAACGTTGCGAACGCCTTTTGGTCCTTCTTCTTCCATGCCGCGATCTCGTCCTCGTTGACCGGCTTTTTCTCCGTTCCGTCGAAGAGACCCCAAAGTCCCCGCTCCATCATGAGCACTTGGAACTTAAATTTCCACGCGGAGTAGTTTTGTCCCGTGAAAATCGGAACCGCCGACGTGTCGAACACCGTCGCGTTTGTCCAGGGTTCGCCGGGATTCGAGACGACACCACCTAAGGAAGTGCCGGAGGTTTCGCTTGACGTCATCATGCTTGCTACAAGTCGCGCACGTAGACTCTACCGACCACCTCTGATACCACTGTTGTAGAGGACTCTCCTCTACTTTGCAGGAACTGGGAGTTGTTCTAAACGATAGAGCACAGTCTTGGCTTTCCAACAAGCCGTCAAACACGTTAATCGCCCAAGTATACGCCGAGATATTGGCGTTCACGTGATTGCTAGTGCTCTTAGAAGCAAGGATAGACCTCTCTGGAATTTTGGTTCGAATGGACCATGTACAAGAAGATTCAGGATTTCAGTATAAAGCATGCATACAAGGCAGGTCGATTTATAGCAAATGCATTACATCGAACCGCACATGTAACATCACATCGCTACACTCGCGTCGCGAATGCGCCGCGTGTAACATTTCGGTTGGGGTGAAATTCGACCACCGAATTTCACACCGAACACACCGAATTCGCCTTGCACTTGAAGGTTGGAATGTGGTGCCGCCACGTGGCACCGAAGGGTGAGTCTCCCGAAGTCAATCGGTGCCACCCCACCGATCCCTAGTCAAAGGGATCGAAGGCACCGAAGTGCCCTCGGTGGGTTGGGGGCATACCACCGCCCCACCACCGTTTCCTTCCAACACCTTGCGCGCCTGAGCGGCGGGGAGGAGGGACGCCGCGAGGAGGGCGACGAGGGCGAGCGTTGCCGCAGTGAAGAAGCCGCGAGGGAACGCCATGGTGGTTCAGGAACTTGATGAGAGGTACTTGCGGCGTTTAATTATTACTATTAGCAGTAAGTCGGGAAAAGGAAGCTGAGCTGCTGACTTCGGCTTGAGAACTCGCTGTCTCAAGCTCTTGTTTAACAGCTGCTTGTGTTCAGCCGATGATGATTGAAAGCAACAGATCCGCCTGACTTATAGTTTCGTTCGCGGGAAGACCAAAGCCTCAAATCCAAGGCGTTCCGTGAGCGCCGGGTGAGCTTCGACCAGAGCGCGCAGCGGTTAAGTGAAGGTTACTGAGAGGGTCTCCCAGCGACGGTGCAGCTGTACGCGTCGCGGCGGCGCGATAGCAACGTTTGGACATGGTTAGAGGCGTTAAGTGCAAATAACAGTCGTTTGGTGGAACGGAGACGCGCTCTGAGTGGTTTCGGAGGATTCAACAGCTTCTTGCAGGGCTGCGCGCATTGACGATACGGCTCCAGCGCGTTTCGCGGCGCCTGCTCACATTTGTTTTTTCCTTTTTTGTTCCGCTCCAGGACCCTAACAAAAACTTTGACCCAGCGAGGGCGGTTTTCGCTAACTACCCATGCCGCGCGTCGCCCCATGTCGTTAAGAACCGAGGAAGCGTCCAGCAAGCATGCAGTTGCGACCAAACTTCTCTCCTGCCAGTGAAACCAGAGGATGGGCAGCAAATTCAACCGTCTAGCAAACTGAAGAAAAGGGAGACTTGGAAAAAGAGCGAATGGTGGGGGATGAATTTGGGTTTAGGGGGGATTGCTGGGTGAGAGGTTGAATTGGCTTGGCTGGAAGGGGCTGTTTGGGTTGGGAGATTGGGAGCTGTTGCAGCAGCGTGGGTTGCATGCGACATGTGGCGGCTCGGAGAAGCGGTTGACATTTGGTGATTTGCGAGCGATTCGCTCGGATGATACTCCTCGATAAGTTTGGTTAGTCTGGATGTTTACACATGTTCGAAGGTACACCCCACGGGGAAAAATATCCGCAATCCTGATTATATGGGACATCTAAAAGGCCTTTTCAACGCGATGAGTGATAAACTCACGAAAGTGAAAACAAGCACTTCTAATAAAGCGGATTGAGCGAGGCGCGCAAGTTAAGATTTTGCAATTTCAAATTTACGAGGCAGCGTTTACAAGATCGGACCTCGTTCCCCCCAACAAGCAGTCCAAATTCCCAGCTGGGTTCATAAACTAAACTCGTCGTAGTTGTCGATGGGATGGGAGCACGGAGACAACTCACACTCGTAAACACAGGGAACTGTTTTTTGAAAACGGGCCTTGCATGAATCAGGAGTCCCACATGTTGGCCGTTTGATTTCTCTCAGCAGCAAGCTCCCGCTGTTGCTCATATAGCTGAACTTCCGTCACACGGGTCGTGTAGGCGAAGCTTGCACTGGCTGAAGTTTTTGTAAACATTCGTGCGAAAAAAAGCTCAGGATTTACGACAGCTGAGATAATTTGATTAGACACGCAGCTGGGGAAAATTAGGATGCTGCTGAAAAAAGAGTGACACGGAAGGGAATTTCTTCATTACCAACGACACGGAATTACGAGATTCAGACCCCTAGTATCGACATGGTTCTTATTCATCCGAGTATCATCAGCAGCGTCGCGACGCGGTTAGGGAGGAAATGGGAAGACGAGGAGGGGAAGACGATGTACGAGAAGGGAGAAGATTGCCTCGGTAATTCCTATAGGATTTGTCTCCGTATTTTGCCACGTTCGTATATGACTAGGTGAATTTTTGGTCGACTCAAAACGGACGGACGATGTACGAGAAGGGAATCGGCCGCCTGCCTTGCCCATCGTTTCTCCTAACACGACGTTCCCATCGTTTCTCCTAAAGCTCCCCCTGCTCGCCCATTCCCCTCAACTGCCCCAAGTACCAACACTCTCCACCGCCGCCCTTCCCTCCACCCGTCTCCAACCCCCCCATCCCGGCCCCCGATCCCTCCCCCCTCTCGTCCGTGTCTCTCATATTCGCTGCGCGATCTTCAGCGGCTGATACGGCGGGACCACCGCGTGACGCTGCTCCCACTGCCTACCCTGCTCGGCCATTACCCCTCATTGTTCCACAAGCGATCCACCACCCGCTCTCCCTCTTCGTTCCCGTCTCTCAGGCTCGCTGCGCGATCTGCAGCGGCTGATGCGGCGGGACCACCCTGTGTCGCGCGACGTGCTGGTTCAGCTGGGTCGGTGGGACATCGTTCGCACGGACCTCGTTCCCATCATCTGCCGCTACCGCCGCGACTCCTCTCTACTCCTTAACGCCGGTAAGCGCCCCTTCCAACTGACTGCCGCTGTTCGCACGGACCTCGTTCCCATCATCTGCCGATACCGCCGCGACTCCGCGCTGCTCCTTAACGCCGGTAAGCGCCCCTTCCCAAGAACTCGGTGGGTCGGTGGGACATTGTTCGCGCGGTCCTCGTCCCCATCATCTGCCCATACCACCGCGACTCCGCGCTGCTCCTTTCAAGCGCCACCTCCCCATTCCCCGACTTTCCCCTCGTCCCCACCCCTTCCCCCTCACCATCCCCCCCACCCTCCGCCCCCCCCAACAGTCAAGCTGCTGGTGTTCCTTACGATGCCATCGCCGCCACCACCGCCTGATTTGGACGCGGCGGGTCGGCAGCAGCAGCAGAAGCTGCGGCTGGAGCACCACGGATGCCAGAGGCGTTTCAAGAGCGCGCTGGTGCACGGAACCGGCGCTGTAACGAGTGGGCTTATACCGAGAAACGGCGGCGCTGCTGGCGCTGCTGCTGCTGCTGCTGGTTACGTGGGGAGTGGGGAGAGCGATGCCATCGCGATCGTGCTGCAGTTGCTCGTAGATCCTCTCAAGAACATCCAAAGGTAGAGTTCAAACCCCCTCAAAGTCAACTGAACGTCTCCTGTGCTCTAGTTGCTCGTAGATCCTCTCAAGAACATCCAAAGGTATAGTTCAAACCCCCTCAAAGTCAAATGAACGTCTCCTGTGCTCTAGTTGCTCGTAGATCCTCTGAAGAACATCCAAAGGTAGAGTTCAAACCCCCTCAAAGTCAACTGAACGTCTCCTGTGCTCTAGTTGCTCGTAGATCCTCTCAAGAACATCCAAAGGTAGAGTTCAACAAAAAGAAAGAGCTGATGGGAGAGGGTGTTATCATACTCACCCTGCTTGCTGGGGGAGGTAAGCAGGGGGCGTTGACCCTGCTTGCTGCCGATGTCCCCTGCTTACCTCCCCCCTCCCCCCCTCCTCAAACCACCTCCCGTCTGCTCCCGCCTTCCCCATGCAGCGAGCGTGGCTTTAATGACGACTGGCGGCTGGTTCAGATGATAGCTTTTTTTAGGCGCCTCAAAACTGGTTGGTACCTATTGATTCCCCAGCTTACACCCCTTCTCCTCCACTCCCGCCCCCCCACGTCCTCCTCCTGTTTTCCGCCTCCCTTGTGCAGCGGGCGTGGCAGCAGCGACGACTGGCGGCTGGTGCAGATGATCGTCACTCTGGTTCGGAACCTCCTTGCCATCCCCGACCCTCCGCCGGACGTATCCTCAGCCTCGGCATGGGCGCACCTGTGCTTCCTTCAGGTAGGCTCGGTGAACTTCCCCACTCCCTCTCCCCACTTCCCCCCAATTCCACCTTTCCTCCTCATCTCCTGCCTCAACTTCCCCGAAACCGCCCCATCATTCTGCCCCGCTTTCCCACCCCCACCCCCCCCTGCCGCCTTCCCCCACCCACACCCCTTTTCTCTCAGGACGATCTCATTCGCTCTCTCTTCCGCAGCAGCTTCCAAGACATTCTCCTTTTCCTCATATCCTGCCTTCACGCCCCCGAAACCGCCCCGGCTCTTCGCCACGATAACCTCTTATTCCTCGAGATTCTTAATCTCCTCTTCCGCGAATTACCTCCTAAGGACGCGGCTGTAGCGGCGTTTCGGGCCGCCGGGGAGGCTGATGCCGAGGCTGACGCGAGGGAGGACCGGGAGGCTGCCGAACGTCTGGCGGAGGCTAGGCGGCGGGAGAAGGAGCGGGCGGCTCGGAAGGCGCTGGCTCAGAAGATCACGCAGCGGCACTCCCGGTTCGGCGGGCTCTATGTGGTTCGGAACGCGGTGAGTTGGTTGGTTTGGCGGGCTCTATGTGGTTCGGAACGCGGTGAGTTGGTTGGTTCGGCGGGCTCTATGTGGTTCGGAACGCGGTGAGTGTTGGCTGGTTGGACAATTCACGAACAGTCAGTAGTACGCCCTTCAGCCAAGTGAGGCGGGAATGCCAATCCTGAGCTCACTTCAACCTCCCCTGCCTTACTGCCCACTTTCTTGCCCCCTTCTCCCAGGACAATTCAAGAACAGGCAAGTCAGCCAAGTCCACCATGCCATCTTCAGCCAAGTCAGGAGGGGCCCTGAGCGGAGAGTCATGGGGGGCATTTCAAGCACCCTCTCATTCTGCCTTGTTGCTTCCCTTCTTCCCCTCTCCCCCAGGACAAGTCGAGAACAGTCAGCAGCACGCCCTTCTCCCCGCCCGTCCACCATGCTATATTCAGCCAAGTCAGGAGGGGTCCTGTGCGGCGGGTTATGGGGGGAACGGGCATCGGCATGGGGTTGGATGGTGGTTTGAACGGCGATGGGGATGATGGCAACGGTGGTGATGCGAGGAAACCAGATGCTGACGTGGATGCTTCCCTGGGATTGGTCGGTGGAACGCGGGCCAATAGGCGGAGCTCCAGGTGGACGGCGAGGCGGCTGGGGGTGTTTGCCGACCGACTGCTGGCTTCGGGATGTTACAACGCTGAGTGTGACAATAGTGAGGTGAGTTGAGATGAGCTGGTTGCTTTCGTTTGATTCAAGAGTCACCTGGTGTTTGCGGACCGACTGCTGGCTTCGGGATGTTACAACGGTGAGTGTGACAATAGAGAGTGTTACAATGGTGCTGAGTTGGTTGCTTTTGACTCCACCCACGAGTTTGTCACCTTGCGTTTGCCGATGAGCATCTGCCTTTGACTGCTGGCTGGCGGCTGGTGCAGATGATCGTCTCCGTTGTTGTAGCCTCGTGGCGGGCAGGGCTAGAGCCCTCTTCCTCGTGGCAGAGCCCTCCGACATTTTCGCCTTCTTCCTCGTGGCTTGACACCCTGCCCCTCTCCCCCTCCTCCCCCCCCTCTCTCCAGTGCTCATGGAGACGGTTCGTCGGGATATGGCGGCGTGGCGGGCTGGGCTAGAGGCCTTGACACGCTCGCCTTCTTCCTCGTGCCTTGACACCCTGCTCACCATATTCACCCTGTTCCTCCCCCCCATCCTCCCCTCCCCGCCCTCCCCAGTGCTCATGGAAACGGCTCGTCGCGACGTGGCGGCCTGGAGGCCGGGCCTAGAACCCTCCGACATGCTGACTGTTGAGGCATCTCCGTTTCCCCGCTCCTTGCGCCCCTTCCGCCCCCCCCTCCCCCCTCCCCCCTCCCCCTACCCGCCCTCCAGTGCTCATGGAGACGGTTCGTTGGGACATGGCGGCGTGGAGGCCGGGCCTAGAGCCCTCGGATACCCTCGCCTTCTTCCTCGTGGCTTCCTTCTTCACTGCTTTCCAGCGGGAGATGCACGGCCTGCGGGGAGACGTAACTCATCCTCCCCTCCCCATTCTCCTCCTTCCTCCCTCCAGTGCTCATGGAGACGGTGCGTCGCGACGTAGCCTCCTGGCGGGCGGGCCTAGAGCCCTCTGACACACTCGCCTTCTTCCTCGTGGCTTCCTTCTTCACTGCTTTCCAGCGGGAGATGCACGGCCTGCGGGGCTGGGGGGGAGGGGGGACAGCTGCAGGCACAGGGGAAGGGGGGAAAGGGGGCGCTGCAGGGGGAATGGCAGGGGGAGCACGAGAGGCAGCAGGAACAAGGGAAGCGGAACCAGGAAGAGAAGGAGAATCAGGAGAAGAAAATGAAAAACAGCAGGCAAATACAGGAACAGAGGAAGCTTCTAGGAAGGTGGAGCAGAGGGCGGTGCATGGGTGTGGGCCAATAGCAGCCACAATGGATGATGACATGTTCACTCTTGTTTCTGCCCGCTGGGCAGAATATGCTGCCCGGGCCAATCACGAGCGGGCAGCGCTGGTGGCTGCGGGCAGCCTGCTGAAAGAAATGGTGAGCACCTTTCAAGCATGTCTTTTTTCCCTATACCCCACCTTGAGATGCGAAATGTTGCTATTGGCTTTTTTTGTATCATTTCTTTTTGGCTTGTTGATGGTTTTAAAAGCTATTCCCACTTACCCCTCTCCCCCCCCCCCCCCTTCCCGGTCTCTCCCCTGCAGATCCACATGCTAGATGCCGTGATAAAATCCGGAGAGAATCCCACCCCTACAGCACCGGGCTCGGCCGGCTCTCACCACGAGGTTCCGCAGGGGGTCCGGTGGGAGGTTCGGCGGGAGGTTCGGCTTGCCCGAGCCATGCTTCTACGACTCTTCTACGACGATTCAAGCGATGGGGTGGTGCATGTGCTGCAGCGGGTGCTGAGGGGCTTCAACCCGCACACTCAGCCGCGCTGCTTGCTGGTGGATGTTGTTGAAACCACCCACGCCACGTTTTTGCTTGAGGGAGATTTTACAGTGATAGCTTCCCTGTCTTGCTCTTTGTGAACTTGGCCAATGCAGGTGGTGAGGAAGAGCCGTCAGAGGAAGGACAAGGCAGGGAAGGCAAAGGGGAAGGGGAAGAGTGCAGACACGGGCAAGGAAGGGGATAAGGAGGGAGAGCAGGGGGGAGATTTGGGGGGAGAGCAGAGGAGTGAGCAGGAGAAGGCCCAGGAGAGAAATCAGGAGAAAAATCAGGAGGGAGAGAAAGCTGTGGGTGCAGATGGTGGCAGTACTGCTGCGGCTGATAATGTTGGTAGTGGTGGTGGTGCTGCTGATGGTGTTGATCGTGGTAGTGGTGATAATGCTGCACCTGATGCTGCAGAAGAAAGGGGTGAAGAAATACGTGAATCAGGAGAAAAGGAAGGGCAGGAGGGGGGGACAGAACAGGGGGAAAGTGGTGGTGGTAACCCTGCTGCTGCTGGTGCTGCTGCTGCTGGTGCTGCTGCTGCTGCTGCTGCTGCTGCTGCTGGCGCTGCAGTTGCTGCTGCTGCTGATGCTGAAGATAATGAAGAGGAAGAGGCAGCAGCACACGGAGAAGGCCCAGAAGATTCCGAACCAGGCTCGGACCAAGCCTCCGATGCAGGCTCGGACATAGGCTCGGATGCCGAGCCTGGGAACGGCATAGAGGAGGCGGAGGAGGAGGGTCGGCGGGGGCGGGAGGAGGTTCGGGAATATGAACTAGACGTGAAGCGCACTATAAGGGGGTTTGCTGAAGTGCACGCAGTTAAGAACTGTGTGTGGCTGCTGGAGACGGCCAATAGCAACGCGCCACGTGTCAACCACTATGTGCTGTCGCTGCTCAGGAGGTTCACTGTGGGGTGCGATGCTGAGGCCATGCTGTTCCAGGTGGGTCTGAGGTGATTTCTCAGCTGATTTTTCAGGTGCTTTCTCAGGTATCTTCTCAGGTGCTTTCGCACGTGCTTTTTCAGGTGTATTCAGGTCTCAACCCTTACACCCTGCACCCTGACAAGCCCCCCATCTTCCCTGTAACCCCAACCCCCCCTCCCCCCTCCCACCAGGTGTCAACCCTACACACCTTTTACACGCTCCTCACCAGCCCAGACCTCTGCCCGTTTCCCCATCCCCCCTTTCCCCCATCCTCCAACCTCCATTTTCCCGTCCCCCTAACTGCCCTTTTCCCCATTCCCCCTTCCCCCCCTCCCCCCTCCCACCAGGTGTCAACCCTACACACCTTTTACACGCTGCTCACCAGCCCAGACCTCCGCTCCCTCTGCACGCGCCCATGTTTCTAGGTCACCTAAAGAACGCTCCCTTTCCCCCATCTCTCCATCCGCCCTCCCCCCACCCAGGTATCAACCCTGCATACCTTTTACAAGCTTCTCACGAAACCAGACCTCCGCTCCTCCCCTCTGCACGTGCCCTTGTTTCAGTGGCGTGTTATAATTGTGCGGCTGCCCTTTTCCCCTTCCCCCTTTCCCCATCCCCCCTCCCCCCAGGTCTCAACCCTGCACACCTTCTACAAGCTCCTAACCAACCCAGACCTCCGCTCCTCCCCCCTGCACGCGCCCCTCCTCTCGTTCCTCTCCTCCACCGTCCGCCACCTCTCTGCCCTCCTCCCCCTCCGCCCCTCCCTCTTCCTCCGCCTCCTCTTCCACAAATCCCGGAAAGAAAGCATGGTTCTCGCTGCTGACGTGGCACTGGGGGAGCTTAGGTCGGGGGGGTGGGTGGGCGGGAGAGTGGGAGGCGGGGATGGGAAAGAGGGATGGGAGGCGGTGAGTGGGGGAAAAGGGAGGCAGAGAGGGGGGAGGGGAGGAGGAAAGGCGGGAGAAAGGGGCGGGAGGGAGAATGTAAGGAGTGGGGGGTTGAGGGATGCGTTGGGTGATGATGAAGCAGACGTGGAGTTGCCTCGAGGCATGTGGTGGGCCGCTGATGTTGCTGATGCTGCTGCTGCTGCTGCTGCTGGCAAGAGGTGAGAGAAGGGGCGACAGTAGCAGAGTTTTTTCTGGTAATATGCAAGAATGTGGGAGTGTTGAAGAGTGGGGGGTTGAGAGAGACGTTGGGGGATGATGAAGCAGATGTGGAGTTGCCTCGAGGCATGTGATGGGCGCCTAGTGCTGCTGCTGGCGGCAAGAGGTGAGAGAAGAGAGGGTACACAAGCAGAGGAAGGAGAATTTAAGCCTTATGATTCGCAACGATGTTCAGGAATGAGAAAATCTGTATACGCAAGAAGGCAAGGGAGGAATTTTACTGTCACTCACACCGCCACCATCACCTCGCTCCCCGTTCACTTTTGAGACCTCTCAACACTCAACACTCAAAGCCACCGCCTCCTCCCCACGTTGCTCCCGTTCAATCTGATGCCTGGCAGCAAGGGAAGGGGCAGTGCGATTTCTTAGGCGCCTCATAAATCGTCTCATCACTCACACCACCACCACCACCACCTCGTTCTCCCCACCTTGCTCCCCGTTCAATCTGATGCCTGGCAGCAAGGGAAGGGGCAGGGCACGAGTGTTTTCAGAAGACCAGGAGAGGAGAATCCGCGAGCTGTTTGAGAGGTGAGAAAGGTACTTGTGCTTTTAAAGACAGCAGGAGATGTAAGAGGGTGCGTCTTGTGTGGCTTATGGCCGCCTCAAAAGTCAAAATTTATTCTTGAACGCGGGTGAGGGCGGAGCAACAGGTATGGCGGGGGTGGGACGGATTGGTGCGAAAGAGGTAAAGAGGGTGAACCTGTTTCAGAGGTAAAGAGGGTGAACCTGTTTCAGAGGTAAACATGTCTTATGGTGCCTTTTTTATTCAACCTCCCCTCCCCCCATTCCTTCTCTCCCGCCCTCATCAGCAACAAGTCAAGGAGGGAGGTGCAATCACTGATAGCAAAGGCCCTCGTCGCACATCATCCCAGCCTGTTTCCTACCACGGGCCCTCCTCCCCCCCTCCTCATTGCTCCCCTTCCTGCCCTCATCGCCCCCCTCCGTCTCCTATACCTCCCCCTCCCCTCATCAGCCACAAGTCAAGGCGGGAGGTGCCATCACTGATAGCAAAGGCTCTGATCGCACATGATCCCAGCCTGATTCAATCCACCCGCCGTAGAAAACCCGGGGAGAAAGGGGAACCAAGGGAAGGCGGGGAAGAGGGGGAAGAGGAGGAAGTGGAGGAAAGGGAGGAAGTTGGAGGGGAGGGGGGAGCTGGGGAGAAAAGGGGTGCTCCTCAAAGCGGCCCTGCAGCTGCTGTTGATGCGGACTCGATAAAAGCTGACTCGATAAGAGCACTTGCGGGGAAGGTCAGCCGGTTTTTGCGGTCGCAGGGGCTGAAGAGGAGCAAAAGGGGCGAGGAACACGAAGAGGCACGGCAGTCTCCCATTCACAGATGAAGATGATGCAATGATTAAGAGTCTATACAGTGATGCTACAAGGGTTCCGGTGGGGAACGGCAGCGGCAGCAACAGCAGCAGCAGGAGGAGTACGGGCAGGAGAGGCAAGGGTGCTGTTGCGAAAGAGGTTGCTAAGGCCATGGGAGGGAAGTTTTCGGTTGCCCGGCTTGCCCAGAGGATTCAGTTTCTCGGGCTGCCCGAGGATGGAATGGGCAGGAAGAGGAGTGAGAGGAGGAGACGTGGGAGTGCGAGTGGGTTTGATGAGATTCTGAAGGATATGGAGGACGGAGAGAAGAGAGCGGGGGGAGAGGAGGAAGAGGAAGAAACGAAGGTAGAGGAAGGAGAAACAGAGGACGAGGCAGGGGCAGGAGGAGAGGAGGAAAGAGTGGGGGATGAGGAGGGAGAGGAGGGAGAGGAGGAAGAGGGAGAGGATGAAAAAGAGGAGGCGGAGAGTAGTGAGGATGAGGATAATGTGTTGCTGAGCAAGAGACCGAAGGCACTGATTGGTTCTGCTGCTGCTGCTGCTGCTGCTGCTGCTGCTGCTAGAGTGAGGCGAGGGCGAAGGGCTCTTGAGAGCTCTCAGGAAGAGGCAGAGAGCAGTGAGGATGAGGAGAATGTGCTGCTGAGCAAGAGACAGAGGGCACTGGCTGCTGCTGCTAAAGTGAGGCGAGGGCAGAGGAGTGACAGGAGGCAGAGGGGAGGAGGAGCAGCAAGAGGAGGAGAGATGCCGAGGGAGCAGGAGGCCCAGGAAGAGGAATGGGCTACAGGCAGTCAGGCTGCTGGTGGGGATGGTGCAATGAATTTAGAGGGAGACCAAGGGGCGATCGTTGTTCCAAACAGCACTGCAATTGCTGCAGGGCCTGTTACTGGTAGTGCTCTTATCGGAGGTGCTACTATTGCAAGTGCTGCTGTGGGAGTGGAAGAGAAGGTGGAGTTGAAAGAGGAAGCCGTGAGGGAGGGCGTTCAATTAGTGCTTGCTGACGGTAAGAGCTCTTCTACTCCATCCAGCTTCCAAAATGCCCTCTCCTCCCACTTCTAGCCGTCCTTCCTCCGTGTTTCCTTTCAACTCGAGCCCCACTTAGAGGCCATGGGTCAATACGTGGCAGCAAATACTTGGTTTGAGACACCTGAGTAGGTGAAATGTGTTTGCGTAGAAAGAACACTTGTGAACAATGTGATGGTTACTGGTTTCAAAGTGGATTGCCTACTCCTCCATCCTGCTTCCAAAATGCCCTCACCTCCCACCTCACGTGACATTGTATCCAGGTGTGTTTTGAGTCGACTCAAAACACTCCTCCATCCTGCTTCCAAAATGCCCTCCCCTCCCACTTCTAGCCTTCCTTTCTCCATGCCTCCTTTCCCCTTGACTGCTTCTGTATACCCATCTTTCAATGCTCGTTTTTACTATACGAGTCTCATCTCTTCTCTTCCTTTTCCTCCTCCCCCATTCCCCCCGCATCCCCCCAACCCCATCCTTCCCTTCTCCTTACAGATTCCTTTGATGGAGCAGAGGCGATCCAATGGCTGCAATCGCGCCTGAAAGCAGCCCACGCCAGCTGGACGGACGCGATCGCTCGAAACAGCTGGCAGCTCCTGCTGATGGACGGCCCAGATTGGCCTGGCAGGAAGGGGAAGAAAAAAGGGGGGAAGGGGAAGGAGAATGGGAAGAAGGGGAAGAGGAGGAGAGGGCAGGAGGAGGAGGAAGAGGAGGAGGAAGGGGAGGGAGGAGAGAAGGAGGGGGATGGGGGGTGGGGGGAAGTTGTGCATGTAGACCTTTCGTTGGTGGAGGAACTGGAAGATTGGGACACGGTGGCAAATGACAGCATGGCGCAGCTGCTGTCAGGTGAGCTGTCTGTTGCTGTCAGGTGAGCTGTCTGTTGCTGTCAGGTGTGTTCTGAGGTGCGTTTTTTCAGTTGCTGCTCTCAGGTGCACTCTCAAGTGTGCTCTCAGGTGCTGCCCACGTTGCTCCCAATCGCCTTCCCTTTCTTCTTCCCTTCACCTCCTCTTCCTAACAGCGTTCTGCTTGAAGCACCCTGACGAGGCTGATGGGTGCTGGAGAGTCCCTGGAGACAGGGGCACGCAGTGGCTGCTGGACGCTGTCAGCATGCTTGCACGCATGCTGTACGAGGGAAGCTCACATGCTCAATTCCATCCCTCTCTGCTCTGTTTCCTCCCACCCACCAGCGCTGTGCTTGAAGCATCCTGACGAGGCTGATGGTTGCTGGAGGGTCCCTGGGGACCGGGGCACGCAGTGGCTGCTGCATGCTGTGAGCATGCTTTCACGCATGATGGCAGGGGAAAGCTCGTGCGAGTATGCTGGAGGGAGGCTGCAGATGGTTATAGTAGAGGAGAGAGGAGGAGGTGGGAAAGGGAGAGAGGGAAGCGAGGGGAGAGAGGGAGGGGAGGAGCGAGAGGGAGAAGGGGCGAGAGAAGGAGGGGAGGAGAGAGGAGGAGAGGGAGAAGAGGGGGGATGGGAGGATGGAGAGGAGGAAGGGAAAGGTAGAGAAGGAAGAGAGAAAGGAGAGGGAGGACGGGAGGATGGAGAGGGAGAAGGCATGGTTATTAGGGCATGTTTGGGTCCCAGGCACAAGAAGCGGAGAGGGACGGGAGAGACAGGAGAGGTGCAACAGCAGGGGTTGAACGTCCATGGGGGTAGTGAGGGAGAGGGGAATGAGTGTGGAGCAGGGGCAGCAGAGAGAGAGAGGGCTCAGTCTGCGAGGGAGAAAGAGAGATGGCAGGGGAGGATGGGGGGTGGTGGGGAATTCAGTGAGGGGGAAGGGATTGTTTTGACAGCTCGAGTGAAAGATGTAGAAGGGGGTGTGAAGGGGAGGGTCGAACAGAGCATACCATTGGAGGAGGGGGGACTAGAGGAAACCGGTATCAGGGATGATCAGGGTGAAGGGCTTGAAGGAGACGGGAGAAGAGATGATGAAGGGAGTGAAAGGCTTGAAAAGAATGAGAGTAAAGAGACCCATGCTGTCTCAAAAGAAGGTGTTTCCAGTGGAGAGGCGCAGCCCTTGATGCCGGCAGTGCTTGGTGCCCGATCCAAACGTCCCGCTTCCCTGGCCGGAGGCTTGGACCGAGCCAAGCGGCTGAGGTTTGCTGGTTTGGAGGAGGCTCGGGAGGAACGCTAGACTTGTTTCCTTTGGGTAGAAGGCTGAGAAAAACGGCAGAAATTACGAGGTGGGTGGGTCACCTGTACTCTATGTTGTATTCCAAGTGTTCATTTCATATCATAGTGTTACGTGCCCCTCGCACATCATATTTCATGCAATACTGGGTGCCATGTGAACCATCACATGCATCCATTTTTCATTGAAAGCCTACTGAGCAATTCAACACGTCCAATATTTTGCTTTATGAAACAAGAGTTGTCTAGGAACGACAGGAGGTGTTCTACCGCTTAGCAGGATCATCTGGCTCAAGCCTCTTTTGAATGGCAGCAGCTCCCTGAAAGGCAAATGCAGGCAGGCAAGACACACAGCTAGCAGCAAATCACATGATCCACATAAGGAGCAAAAGAACTGATACTTGAGGCGCCTAAAACAGCACACAGCAGGCTGCATGATACGCGCGAGCACAGGCAATGGGGACGGTGTGCGTGCGGATGGGCAATGGATGGTGTGAGTGCAGTGGACGGGCAACAGTCAAATACAACGACGAAGAATACCCATGGATAATACACGAGGAGGTGGTAGACACCTAGTTTTGAGGCGCCTCAAAACTAAAATAAGGAGGTAGACACATGAGGAGGAGGTAGACACATGAGGAGGAGGTAGACACATGAGGAGGAGGTAGACACATGAGGAGGAGGTAGACACACGAGGAGGAGGTAGACACATGAGGAGGAGGTAGACACATGAGGAGGTAGACACATGAGGAGGAGGTAGACACATGAGGAGGAGGTAGACACATGAGGAGGAGGTAGACACATGAGGAGGAGGTAGACACATGAGGAGGAGGAGGTAGACACACGAGGAGGAGGTAGACACATGAAAAGGAGGTAGATATTGCGATGAAGAAAAATTCGCCAGAAGAGAACCAGCTGAGATGCTTGGGATGTTAGAGGGGGGTCACAATATTTTGAATGGTTGACGTCTGGAGCAATTGAACCACTACCACCAGTGTAAGCAGAGCAGAAGCAGAATTTACCTCTCAGTTTCAATCTGGTAGAGGAAGCGAAGCTCCTCTTTGAGCCGCTTCTGAGTCAACAAAAAAAGTAATTGAACCACTAGCACCGATGTAAGAAGAGCAGGAGTGAAATTCACCTCGTAGTTTCCAATCTGGTAGAGGAAGCGCAGCTCCTCCTTGAGTCGCTCCTGGTCCCTCATTGCTTGCGCCTGGGAATGAGCAAGGAGAGCATCGGACGGGAGTGCAAGGGGCACAGAAAAGGCACGGCGTGCATGGAAGAGCATGCAACAACGCAACTCCTCTTTGAGTCACTCCTGGTCCCTCATTGCTTGCGCCTGGGAATTAATCAGGAAAAGGGCACAAAAAAAGGGATGCAGAACATGAGGAGACAGCATGAACGACACGATGCACCCATGCACAGCCATGCACAGCCATGCACAGCCATGCACCCATGCACCCATGCACCCATGCACCCATGCACCCATGCACCCATGCACCCATGCACAGCCATGCACAGCCATGCACCCATGCACCCATGCACCCATGCACCCATGCACCCATGCACCCATGCACCCATGTACCCATGCAACGCCAGCAACTCCTCCTGCTGGAAGGAGCCATGCATCTGGTGCGGAGAATCTTGAAACCTCCACAACCCCCACAACCCCCCAGCACCACCCACAGAGCCGCTCTCAAACTCCCTAAAACCCCTCATTCTCACCAGGCTCGACTCCATGCTGCACTATTTCCCCAACAACCCTCTGTCTAACGCCTCCTCCTCCTTCTGCTGGACAAAGCTCTGCTTTTGTTGCCACGAAGCTCACCACCCCCGCAACCCCTGCAACCCCCCCAACCTTCCAGCACCCCCCCGACCGCTCTCAAACCCCCACAGCCCTCATTCTCACCATTCCCGACTCCATGCTGCGCTTGAGCGCCAGCACCTCCTCCTCCTTCTGCTTCTCCCTCGCCCTGCGAATCTCCTCCCTGCCATGCGAGGTGAGGCGAGACGAGCACAGGCAGGAATCATACATGCAGGGACAGCACCACAGAAGCAACACAGTTAAAAACAGCAGCACAGAGGCAACACTGTTGGGAACAGCAGCACACACACACGCAGCACAGGCCGGGACAGCAGCACAAAGGCAGCACAGGGATGTGGAAGGTGGAGAAGCGGGTGAGCACATAGGCAAGATCAACACAGTCAGCACAAACCTTAACACCATCTTTCACCTCATCACGTCTTCATCATCGAACTTTGTCATCTGTGCTTTCCAAAAGCCTTGTCCAGCTTTTGATTCTACTAAAAAAGTCAACACATTCAGCAAAACCCCTTGTACCATCTCTCACCTCCTCGCATCCTCATCATTAAACTCCGTCATCTCCTTTCCAGACGGCTTGTCCGGCCGTCCCTTCCTCTTCGTCATCTGCTGATGCTCCCATGCTGCCAAGTTGTAATACCTGACGGAACCAGGAATGTTGAAACCGACAGGGGGACAGTGGGGAAGGATTGGGCATGTTCAGGGAGCCGAGAAAAAAAACTCGTCTCGTCAATTGCTCATACTCCCATGCTGATAAGTTGTAGAACCTGAGACTCACTTTTTGGATGGGAACGTGGCAGTGTTGTGGTCTTCCATAAACTCCTTGAAAAGGTTCTTCTCCTCAAAACCGCTCAATTGCTCCAGATTCGCCTGCAGCAAAACACACACACACACACACACACACACACACACACACACACGGACACGCACGCATGCACACACACACACACACGGACACGCGCGCACACACACACACATCACAATGGACGAAGGGCGAGACCTGACCAGAGAACATGGATACGGCAGAGTGGGGGACATGGGAAGGAGTGCAAGCGTGAAAGTCAACGAAAGTCAACAAAGGAAATTCAGGCCAGGGGGGAGGGGGGGAGCCTGAGGGGGGGGCGGGTAGGAGGAGGGGAAGAAAGAGAGAAAGCGACAGCGCAAGGGTCAAAAAGAGAATGTGAGTAGGGGATTTACCTTTTTCACTTCAGCCAGCCATGCACTGAACTCGGGTCGTTTGTTCCTGCGAGACAAGGAAGGCATAGCAAAGAAAAGATGGGCACTCTTCCAGACAACAACAGCAACAACAACAGAAGAAGAAGCAAACGAAGCAGCAGAAGCAGCAGCAGCAGTGATGATGGAAAGGAGCATGCATCAGCACACGGAATCCTGATGTGAGAGTTAATCCCACTGAAGATTGGGCAACCGGACGAGGTCCAGGATCATGGTTACTCAGACAGGCCATAAACACTAATCACATTCGCTTTAAGTGACACTCACCACATGTCCACTTCTCGAATAATGCCGTACTTTCCATACTCCATGACCGGCCCTTTGGACTTGGCCTCTTTCTTAGCCTCTCTCTTCGCCTTCTTCTTCTCCCTCTTCTCCTCCTTCTTCTTCTCCTTCTTCTTCCTCCTCTTCTCCTTCCTCTTCTTCTCTCTCTCCTTCCCCTTCTTCCTCTGCTCTCTCTCCTTCCTCCTCCTCTCTAGCCTCCTCTCATCCGTCTCACTCCCACTACTCTCCGACGTGGTCTCTTCTTCCTCCTCGTCCTCCTCTCCGTCCTCATCACTCCCTCTCTTCCTCTTCTTCTTTTTCCTCGACTTGCTCCCTTCCTTTCCTCTCCTCTTCTCTCTCCTCGCTCTTTTCCTTTCCCTCCTCTCCTCCTCGCTATCTTCCGAACTCTCATCATCACTCTCACTCCCACTCTCGCTTCCACTCTCGCTTCCACTCTCGCTTTCACTCTCACTCTCACTTTCACTACTAGAATCTTTCCTTCGCCGCTTCCCCTTCCCTTTCCCCTTCTCCTTCCCCTTTCCGTGACGGCAGCTGCTCTTCTCCTTCTCTTTCTCCTTCTCCTTCCCCTTCCCCTTCCCCTTCTCCTGATCCTCCTTCTCCTTACCCCCACTCCCATCACTCTCCGATCCCCCCCATTCATCACTCTCCTGTCTCGTCTTCTTCCTCTCCTCTTCCTCCTTCGCATCTGCATCGTCACCTTCTGGCCCTTTCCCTTTCCTTTCACGGTTCCTAATCTCCTTACTCCTTCCTCTCTCCCTTTCCCTATCCCGCTTGTTCGAATCCGGATGCCGACTTTCCCCTTTCCCTCCTCGTTCCCTTGGATTCTCATCGTCCTCCTTTCCCCGGCTGTCCCGTGCGCCGTCGCGACTTCGCCTTCCTTTTTTGCCCTCCATCTCGTCCTCGTCAGATCCCATGACGGTTTGGTTGTAGCGGAAAGGAATTCGCCTGTTAAAACCACAAATATGTTATATTATTCAAAACAGGGACAGAAGCTACTAGACAGAGCAAAACGCCTTCAAATTGTTCAGCTTAGGGTTTACAGACTATTCAGGCTTTGGCGACTTGGGCTGGAGGAGGACAAACATGAGCCAACGCAGAAGGTTTGACCCAACATTGTACTCGATACAGAGCAAGCTTTCGGTTGCTTGACAATGAGCAAAATGTATCTTAGAGCAAGCAGCAATGAAGCTCTGGTCTATATTCATGACTCTGCTTCTGTCCATCAGGCCAGCTCAGCTTGCACTTTTCACTGACACAAAGGATTCCCCCCGCCAGCTGTGACTGTCTCCAGCCAATAAAATGCAGGAATTTGCTGCAAACATAAAAGTGATTCGCGACACATCTGAAGAATTTGCAATTCGCGATTCGATACAGATTCGGTGACGACATTCGTTGATGCCAGCGAGCCATTGCGAACTCTCGCATCTTCGTAGGCCTCATCCAAACCCAGCCATATGCCAGCACCACTGCCACGTGTTCCACATCCCACTGATCACGGTTATCGATGTGTGTGGCTTGGCTTGAAAAATCCACGGCTGAAATGTTCGCCCCTCGTCAACATCGATGTGTCCATTGTCATTACACGCTTTTCATCCCTTCCTCCAGTGCCCCCCTCTTCTCTTCTCTTTCCACGCCCATCACACTCCCTGCAAGTCCCACCCATCCCACCCACAACCATATCAGGTTTGGTCTGGTCGTCTTCGAGATTTCCATCTTGGGACCTCCATTTCTTTCCCCTTCCAAGCAACCATTTTTTCCATGTAGTTTTCAGGCTGTCCTAGAAATAGGAATGAGCAGGCTCCAACACAAGCAGTCTAAGAACCTTAGCTGGTCAGCTTAGTCTACGACCTTAGCTTAGCCTGCCGTCGATAGTTTTTTTCATTCAGCAAGTCAGGGTCATTATTGGAAGTTATTTAGTTTTTGTTTTGCGCGACTTGAAGGCACTTTTCTCACGTTTTTTTTTACAGCTTGTCTACTGCGCGTAACCTTTTGAGTAGCTCAGAACCTTCCAACTAGTGGCAGAACTTTCTTGTTAGAACATCTCATTCAGGCGAAATCAAGATGGATTCCTCCGAACCTTCCCAGCACCGGATTTCAGCAGAACCGAATTTCATGACGTTGGCTTCCATTTCGCTCAGTCTCAACTCCAACCTTTTTTCCCAGCACACTGCATTAACGGCTGGTTACCTGGACATGAGCAAGGACAGTACGAGTCGGGTTGACGACAACAGGAATCTTCCTTCAGCGATCAAGCGCTCAGCCTCGAGAACGTCAGACGAGCTTTTGTATTTTGACGATGTTCGTGAGGACATTCGTCAACCTCCGCCACTGGTCGTGGCAAAGGGAGGGCTTACGGACGGTCACCTGCTGGGAGCGTCCAACAAGAATGCTGGGAGCTTGGTGACGATGTCAGCAGGAGGCAATGCTGGCGGACTCGGCCGAACGCTGAACGACCTTTTTCGCAGCAACCGCGGAATCACCCCCTTGGGTCAGTTTGGTTCTATCCCTCGTTCGCTCGAATCCAGAAGAGCTCCCTTTCGCTTCATTATCGTCCAAGGGTGCAGTTTGATCCCTACCTTTGTTCTCAGGTGCACAACCTTCTCTATGTGCCTCTTCCTCGTGTCTCCTCCGCAACAGGTTATCGCCGAGGCCGCGGATCAATCCAAAACTGGCGGCATGGGCGGTATGAACCCGCCAAGAATGACGTGGAGCACGCGGCGACGGCAATAACGGAGCCGGAGAAGAAAGTGGCGGACGCTGAGCGCAAGAAGCGCGTGCTCATTCTCATGAGCGACACGGGTGGAGGCCACCGCGCTAGTGCTGAGGCGATCAAGTCGACCTTTGAGCTGGAATACGGAAATAAGTACGAGGTGAGTCAGACACAGAGCAACGCAGCCGTTATCGTGTCTGCAATGCGTATGCAGTGAGTGGAAACAAGTTTGTTACGTCTGTTGGTTTGATTCTCAAGTCCAATGCGTAACCTTTTACGCACAATGCGTATGCGCTTGTGAGAAAGGGAAGTACGAAGTGAAACGCTTTTGCATTGCGACTGGAACACGTGTGAAGGCGCTTCCTCTTTTCTCTCTGCCTCCACTGTCCTCTCCGCCAGGTGACCATCATCGACCTGTGGAAGGAGCACACGCCGTGGCCCTTCAACCAGATGCCCAAGAGCTACAGCTTCCTCGTGCGCCACGAGACGCTGTGGAAGGTGGCGTTCTACGCCACCAAGCCCAAGTTCGTGCACCAGCCGCAGATGGCCGCGACCTCCGCGTTCGTTGCAAGGTGAGTGAGGAGGGATTGGAATGTTCTTGATCCCTGAGAGCAGAAACTAACAGACCTGGAACGCTGCAAAGCACACGAACGTGTTATTCGTTTTCCACAGGATGTTCTGTGGGAGGTGGCGTTTCATGGCATCAAGCTTAATTTCCGGTTAACCACGAAGCAAAAGAGCCCCTTTTAGTATGCTGCTTGTCCATCTTGGGCGAGTTTCTCCCACCCAGCTCAAGCCAAAGAACAAGTGATTGAACGACTTGAGCTGAGATGAAGTTGTCTTTGCGTGCAAAACTCCATGATTGAGCCGTTAGGTGTGCAGCCTGCAAAGACTGCAGTTATAGTAAATCCAGATTTCTCGTATCAACGTCGAAGCTATCTGCCCCAGCCTTCGACCTATCAACCCCCATCCCCCTTCCCACCCCGCGCCCTCCCTATCCTCTTCCCCCCTTCTCCTTGGTGTTGTCTGAACGTTCCATCAGGGAGGTGTCCAAGGGGCTGGACAAGTACAAGCCGGACGTGATAGTGAGCGTGCATCCGCTCATGCAGCACATCCCTCTGCTGGCGCTCTCTGCTTTCCAGCCTTCAATCTATCAGCCCCCTTTATCCCCTTCCCACCCACACCATTCTCCCCTCTTTCCCCATCGTTCCTGGTGCTTCCACGTTCATCAGGGAGGTGTCCAAGGGGCTGGAAAAGTACAAGCCGGACGTGATCGTGAGCGTGCACCCGCTCATGCAGCACATCTCTCTGCACGTGCTGCGCTTCCTGCCTCTCAACCCTCAATGTATCAACCCCCGCTCCACCATGTGTCAACTCTTCCCCTCTTACCCCTTCTGTCACATTCCATCAGGGAGGTATCGAAGGGGCTGGACAAGTACAAGCCGGACGTGATAGTGAGCGTGCATCCGCTCATGCAGCACATCCCTCTGCGCGTGCTGCGCTCCCGAGGCCTGCTGCATCGCATCCCCTTCACCACCGTCGTCACCGACCTCACCACATGTCACCCCACCTGGTGAGGCTCTAGGCGTTTTTGGCGTTCCAGAATGTGAAATGGCGGAGGATTTCAAATAATAACTTTCCACCACAATCTAACTTCTTCACCATCGTTGTTGCCAACCTCACCACATGCCACATGGTGTGTTCCTTAGTGCCTGCCTGGCTTGAGCCTCACACATCTTGGCAATAAACTGAACACCAGAGGAGACCCAGCAAGATTCTGAGTGTCCTACATTTGCCTTCCTGCTCCATCTTATACTCGTGTACCTGCCGTACCATCTGGTTAGGTCGCCTTCTCGTGGGTCAAGGAAATGATAACCCGCACTTGATGCTCGGACTGCCTTCTTCTCTACCATCTTCCTCCAGGTTCCTCCGCTTCGTGACGGTGTGCTTCTGCCCCACCAAGGGCGTAGCTCTCCATGAGTTCCAAACATAACGAACCTGATAACCCAAACAAGTCCTCACTGTGTGCCTCTCTACTCTTCCACCGTCCACCAGGTTCCACCGCCTGGTGACGGTGTGCTTCTGCCCCGCCAGAGACATGGCTCCCAATGATTTCCATGGGGAACGTTCATACGTACATGATAGCACACATGAGGTTCTCACTGCATGCCTCTTCTCTACCACCGTCCACCAGGTTCCACCGCCTGGTGACGGTGTGCTTCTGCCCCACCAAGGACGTGGCGCAACGAGCTCTCAAGGCAGGCTTGCAGCCGCCTCAGATCAGGATACACGGGCTGCCCATCCGACCAGCCTTCGCCAAGCCCTCAGCTCCCAAGGTACTCCCTTTACCCCTGGTTGTCCCACTTTCTCCATTCTTCCTTTTTTCTGCAACCCCTCCCACTTCCCCCCACCCTTCCCCCAACCCCACCATGTCCCATCAACTTTCTCCTGCACCCTGTCCCACCCCATGCTTCTTTCTCTCCTTTGCCAACCTCCTTCTTCACCCTCATGTCCCACCTTCACTCCCACCGACCTCACCCCATTCCATGAAACAGGACGAGCTGCGCCGGGCATTGGGGATGGACCCTGATCTCCCAGCCGCGCTGCTGATTGGTGGAGGGGAGGGCATGGGCCCCGTGGAGGCGACTGCAAAGGCGCTGGCAGCCAACCTGGCGCCTGCGGGTGGTGGGGAGGCGGTAGCCAAGGGGCAGCTGGTGGTGATCTGCGGGCGCAACAAGAAGCTGCTGGCCAATCTTCAGGCCGTCAAGTGGCCCTTGCCTGTTGTGGTGCGTGTGGGAGTTGAACGAGTGTTGGATGAGTGTTGGGAAAGGTGTTTGGATCAGGATGGGTAGCCAATGGGGAGGCGGTGGCCAAGGGGCAGCTGGTGGTGATCTGCGGGCGCAACAAGAAGCGGCTGGCTAGTCTCCAGGCCGTCAAGTGGCCCTTGCCTGTTGTGGTGCGTGCAGGAGTCAAATGAGTGGGATATGAGCGTTGAGAAGGGTGTTTGAATCAGGATGGGTAGCTGATGGGGAATGGGATTTATATGGCTGTCGGGCATCAGGATGGGTAGCAGCAGATGGGTATTGTTGGGTTAAACTGTTGACCATGAGGATGGATTTCAGTGTGGGGTTCAGCCATGCTGGCTGGAACTTCCATGTAGTGATTGAAAACTGTTGTCTCCTATTCCGTCCCCCTGTTTTCTAAGTCATGCTGCATCTCTTCCTATGCATTCAACTTCTTCCCCCTGCTCTCCCCTCTCCTTGACTCTTTCCTGTTTCCCTGTCACATATCTTGCCCTCATTGCAGCTGAAGGGATTTGTGACCAATATGCCTGATGTGATGGCCGCATGTGACTGCATCATCACTAAGGTTAGTGTTTTTTTTTGCATGCTGTCATGCGGCCGCGCTGCTACCCAGTTATTGATGCACAGTGCTGCACATGGTGTGCTTGTATTTGGCCAGACCTTGTATGGCTGTATCATCAACAATCAACACCACCAACTTAGTTTTTCTGTTGTCTTCGTTTCAAACGTTTTCTGCTACCTTCCTTTCATATGCCTCTGTGCAGGCTGGTCCTGGCACGATAGCTGAGTCCATGATCCGGGGTCTACCCATGGTGCTCAATGACTTCATTGCAGGACAGGTGCGTTATATTCTCTCCCTCTCTCTCCGGATCATCTGTACTTGTTTGGCTTACCCAGATTCCAGCCCATGTTTTCACCCATGTGACATTCTTTGCGGGATTTCCTTTTCATGCCCCTGGCTCTGTCAGGAAGCTGGAAATGTTCCATACGTTGTCGACAATGGCACCGGATTGTTTGAGGAGAATCCCAAAGAGATTGCGAACATTGTGGCGGACTGGTTTGGGCCCAAGGCAGACCAGTTCAAACAGATGGCTGCCAACGCGCTCCGCGTTGCTCGTCCAGATGCAGTCTTTCGCATTGTGCAGGACCTGGACCAGCTTGCTTGTCGACCCCACACCCTTGACAATGTCACATTTGCTTTCACTTGATGGTTTCTGGTCATCATCAACTTGAAAGCAGATTGTTGTTTTTTCTGACAAACGATTTTTTCTTGTACGGATATGTGAGGCTGTTTGCTTATAAAGTGGGTGGTGTTCATCGTAGGTGGGCATTTGATGAGAGGACCGCATATTTATGGTGACAGTAAGGATGTGTCTCTTATTTTAGGACCAAAATACGATCGCTTTTTTTGCGATAGTAACTACCTTCGCTGGTCTCGTGACATTGTCGCCAGATTGACCACGCATGTTCCAAGTTTGCGCGATTGGAGAATTGTGATAACCCACTAGTATCCGTGTAGGAATACGTTCCACCAGATATCGCTTTCGCTAGGCCACTGGGCACCCCTCGCGAACATTTACGAAAGCTTCCCTAGGCGACCAAATTAGGTCGACAGCACACCAACATGAGAAAGACATATCAAGATGACTCCCAGCACGTGGGTTGAGTTGGACTGGTTGGTGCCTGTCCTGTGTCAATTGTCCGAGCCTTCCCAATCACATGGTTGATCTGTTTCACTGGAGAACCAACTTCTGTCACTGGAGAACCAACTTCTGTCACTGGAGAACCAACTTCTGTCACTGGAGAACCAACTTCTGTCACTGGAGAACCAACTTCTGTACTGCCTTTTCTTACAGATTCGTGAGCGGTCAGATCAGAGCCCGTCTGCTGATGAGTGAGCTTCGGTCAGCCATTTCTAGGTTGCGCTTTCCCGTCTGATGGCAGGCTCAAAGTGGAAGTATAATATTGGCCTGCTACTTATTCTTCTTGTAGTTTTCATCTGGGTTACCTCCGCAGAGGTGACACAGGTACGGAAGTAGTTTTCTTTCTACCGCGTTTTTTCGTCTATCACCTGTCGGCTGTAAATAACCGTTGCTTCTTCGTGCAGCTTATCTTCGAAAAATACAGGCACCCCTTTCTGCTCACGTGGCTCGGTGCGGCTCTGTTGGTCATTTACCTTCCGATCGCCTACCTTAGGGAGTGCATCACTCCGCTAATAACCAAACCTAGCTCCGTCGTACCGGGCGCGACTTCAAAATCCCTGAAGGATCTGAAAAGTCACTCGAGCGGCGGCGAATTGCAACGACTTAAGAATGAGCCTCGACACCACAAGAGGCCCTCGAAGCCTCCACGTGAGATCGATGACAGCTCAATGGATGAAGAAAGTGACCTGGATACGGAATTGTTGCTTCAAAAGTCGCTATCGGATATCGCACAACCCGTTCGTTCCGCGAAACTTTCCACCCGGGAAATCATTAAGTGCGCCCTCGTCCTGGCACCCCTCTGGCTGCTTACTGAGGTCGGGTCGCATCCCAGCCCATTAGCCCTTTGCTCAACGTTGCTGCTCTTCTTGCTCTCTGCTGTCATGTTTTGTGATATTGAGCTGATTTGGTTGTTCCATGCAGTACCTGTCAAACGCCGCTCTGTCAATGACAAGCGTGGCCAGCACAACCATTCTTTCATCGACTTCAGGGCTTTTCACTCTCCTTTTTGGGGTTACGTTAGGAAATGAGAAGTTAACAACGTCGAAGGTAGTTGCAGTCCTGGTGAGCATAGCTGGGGTGGTCATGACTGAGCTCGGCAAAAGTACTGCAGCGGATGATAGCACCGTGTTTGGTGACGACGCAAGGAATCCTGGCGAAGGAGCTGGTCAGTATGTGTAAGTCTTTTGTTTACACACTGATAGTCTGCCTGGTTGTGTTTTGTGTATGACGATCGTCCGACGAGCTGTCATTCTCGCTCGTTGTCCTTTGCAGGTTACCGAGTCAACATCTTGTTGGTGATATATTCGGCCTCCTCTCTGCAGTTTCTTATGGAGTATACACAAGTAAGCCATTTTCATAGCAGACATTGACACCAGCTGAGATGCAATTTCTCACTTCGTTTTGTGCTGAATTTGCAGCTCTTCTGCGCAAGTATGTCGGTGATGATGAAGCAGGGGACGAGAAAGCTGATATGCAGAAAGTTTTTGGGTACATAGGCTTGGTCACCTTACTCGGACTATGGTGGATTGGTGAGATAAGCAAGGCGATTTCATATATTATTCCTGTCTTTGTTTTTCTGCTCTACTCCTCTCTTTTTCCGTTTTTGGTGGTATGCACTTCAGTGTCCTTGTATGTTAGCCCTCATGTTCTCCATTTGTCTTCTGGCAGTTTTTCCTCTTCATGTGTTTGGATTGGAACCATTGGCCGTTATGCCTAGCACTGTCAATCTCGATGAGGACATTGTTGCCAACAGCCTTGTTGGCAGTGTGGTCTCTGATTATTGCTGGTGAGCTGCTTCACATGTCGTCTGAAAGATAACTGTCTAATCTGCTTGCAGGAACGCATGTGTGCCTAAAATACGGTTTATATTGGAATTCCTTTTTCTGCATGCAGGGCGTTATCAGTTGTATGGACAACGCCTCTTGTTGCCACACTGGGCCTGTCATTAACCATCCCACTTGCCATGGTTGCGGACATGGTGATGCATGGCCGTCAGTACTCATTTGTGTATATTCTTGGATCTGTCCAGGTGAGCCCAGAAGTTGTTGCATGTGTGTGCTGCCAAAGTTCCCATTTTGTGTTCCAATCGTCACAATATAACTACCTATATCTGTGCAGGTTTTTGGTGGCTTCCTGATTGCAAACATGGCGGACAAGTGCATGGGTGGTCCTGCGTCAGATCAAGAAAGTCCACGGTTTGAGAAGGAGATGATTGATATTCTCAGGAGCCCGGTGGATTAGCCTTTCTGATAATGGTGGCACACTTTCATGCTGCTGATGCATCCATCACACTAGCATGGATGGCTATGGCCAATGAGTTGCTTTAGAAAATAGCACCTAGGGTGGGGCACACAACACAGTGCTCCTGAATCATAAGTTGTGCTTGTATTTCACGGATAGGTTGCTATCCTGTTTCCTCTTCACAATCATATTTCTCTTGCTGTCCTTGGTACATGTGCAGGGATAACTTCAGTTCCGTAGAATCCTCTGTCTAGCATGAAGACCGGATTTTGGCTGCCTGTCTGAGAGTCATATGGAAGCATAAGCGATGTATACCTTATAACGAATTTTTTGGCCTTGTTAGGGTATGCAAAGAAAACATCCTAGAAATAATATATAATTCTATGCTAGTGCAAATGTGCTACTAATCCTAATCAGAAGAGTCACTCCCACTACCATTTACATCATTATAAATTTTAAACACACATTGTGTTTTTAAAATTGTGTATTGTGAAAGCGAAGCTGCTTGTACTGCACATTTGGCATCGTCGAAGCGCGCTAAACGCCCTTCTCCAACTACAAAAACCGTGGGTTGGAGCTCATTTCCCTCCACCCACGTTTCTCTATTTCCAACGGCTCACTCAACTTTCCCGCTCGAGTAGTTTTTTCCTCCGTCCAAACTGGCTAGAACCAAAACGCTTCCTCGAGGCGTTTCACCCTCGACTTTACTCAGCGATATTTTTAACTTCAATCGCTCAACGATGGCACCTACGCCGGCACTTAACAACGACAACTCGGCCAACCCCGCTTCCGACTCCGACTGTAACGCCCGCGATTTTGCGGGCGATCGACGTAACAAGCGTCGGGCAGAAGATGGACCTTCCGCCCCGACTGGAGTGGACGTGCTGCTGGGCGGGCTCGATGCCCAGCACCCTTCGGCGAATGTGGCGCCAGTGGCGCCTGTGGCACCAGTGGCGCCAGTGGCAGCGGCGGCTGGCGCGACACACGCGACTGACGCGGGGCACACGCCAGCACCCGCGGCTGGACCGTCGCGTCAGCGCCAGAGGCGACGACCGGCGGTCTCCTCGTCTGACGCGACGGCGACCCCTACGCTGATGCAGGCGTTGACCCCGGACCAGGTCAACGCGCTGCTGTCCCTTCTACAGCAGCAGCCCGTCAGCGTTACAGCCGCGGAAACTGCACTACCTGCTGCATCTGCGTCTGCTAAAAACGAAACTGCAAAAAAGGAAAAAGGAGTGCGAGAAGCAAGGACGAATCGGCGCAACAACGACGCAGCGACCGGCGTTCCCCCTGCTCCAGCGGTCGACAACGACACCGACGACTCCGAAGATGACGCCGGTGAGGCTCCAGTCGACAATACTAATTTTATTGGCACGGAAAATCTCCCCCCCCTCCCTTCTTCTAACCTCACTTTTTCGGCGACGACATTCGTCAACAACTCCGTGCGAGAGCAAGCGGAGCTGCTGGAGGACTTGCGCGCGTACCTGCTGCACGCGGAATACAAGGCGCAGCGCGGCGACTCGGCAGGCGGACTCGAACTCATCTCACACGCCCTCAACCTCATCGCGGGGCGTTTCGAGGTGCTTCAAGTGGAGGACGCCTCCGACTTCCGCATGGCGAAGCGCTTCAAGCTGTACCAGCAGAAGAGCCTGCTGACCTCTCGACCCTTCAAGCAGGCGGTCGCGGACATGGCTGCGATGGACCACGCCGCAAGCGCATACGCTCGCGTCAACCGCGGCGGAAGCAACGCGCCGATGCCGTTCATTCCCAAGCGGGGTCCCCCACCCACGGCCAATTGTCGTGGGTTTCGGGGCTCGTGCTTCCGCTGCGGCCAGCCGGGCCATGTGGCAAGTGCCTGCCCTAGGAACGGGCATGGTGGCCAAGGTCCCGCTCCGGAAGTGTAGGAGCGGACCATGGGAAATGCGCTCGGAGCGCAAGGCACGGTGCACTCTAGAGTGCGGAAACCGTGGGCAGCCCTAGGGGTTTGCGATGGCAAGAGGCCAGCCCTAGACAAGGGTAGAGTAGGCCTTGGGCCTAGGTTAGGGAAGGGGAACATCAACCCCTCGGTCCCATGTATTGGCCACTAGGTGGCGTATGCATGCTAGGAAAGCATTGCTATGTGTGTCGGGTCGATTTAATAAAACATTATTCCTAAAGGCCCTCTGATTTTGGCAAGTGACACTCTAAGAAACAAAGAAGTGGTGCAGAGCAAGAGAGAAAGAGAATCAGAGAGAAAGAAAGAGAGAGAGAGAGAGAGAGAGAGAGAGAGAGAGAGAGAGAGAGAGAGAGAGAGAGAGAGAGAGAGAGAGAGAGAGAGAGAGAGAGAGGGCATGGACAGCCGCATCCAATCGTGTGTGGACCGTGGGGCGAGCCGGTCGGTGCTCGGCACACTCGTTGACATAGCAATTCATTATCAATTCTGTCCACACCGTTTACAAGTGATCTCAAGCACGTGCACACATGCAACACACGTATTTTTAAATAAAAAGTGCAACCCTTGTCCCATGCCACGAACACACAGGAGCGTGGCAATACGAGGCGGCATGCGGCGACGACCCATACGAATTTGCCATAACGGACAAAACCGTTACACATATGCGCGGCCGGCTTCGCGCGACCTTTGCATGGTGGAGCTCATGGTGCTCGAGTAGCCTTGTCCTCTCCGTCATAGCCAAAGGCTATTGGTTGCCATGGAGCCACGGCCCACCGCAACCCTTCCACGATCGCAACCATGTCGGGGCGAACACGCATGCCACATTCACACGTACTGCCGTACAAGAACTCACAGAGACCGGAGCGGCAGTTCCGATGGCCGCAAAGGAGCTTACTTGCATAAGTCCGCTCAACGTGGTCGAGCAAAAAGACAAATGCAGGCTCATTCTTGATCTGAGGAAAGTCAACGCCCACTTAATTGTCCCCAAGTTCAAGTACGAGGGACTTAACCGGGTGGCCGACCTGGCACGCGCTGGGGACTGGATGTTCTCCATCGACCTCAAATCCGGCTATCACCACATCGACATCCACCCCTCGTGCTGGAAGTTCCTTGGATTCGAATTTGGTGGACACACATACGCATTTCGATCCCTGCCATTCGGACTCGCCACAGCTCCATTCGTCTTCACGCAACTCATCAAGCAACTTGCTCGGCGTTGGCGAGAACAGGGCATCCGAGTAGTGCCATACGTGGATGACATTTTATTTCTCTGCCAGTCAAAGGCCCATGCGCAAGCTACCTGTCAGCGCGTAATATTGGACCTCAAAGCAGCGGGGCTGGTGATAAACGCGAAGAAATCGCAGCTCTCACCATCGCAGCACCTTCGATTTTTGGGTGTAGAGTTGGACACCGACACCGGCCGATTCTCCATCGGTCCCGACCGACGAGTCGCGCTACATGCAACCATCCAGAACCTCCTAAGTGCAAGCAAGGCAAGCACACCAGTCCCCGTCCGTCATGTGGCCAGAGTCACAGGCATGCTCGCCTCAATGAGTGTCGCACTAGGCGCGACAGCTCGCGCATTCAGCCACGCCATGTTACAAGTGATCAACGACGCGCCGTCATGGAAAAGCAGTGTGATCGTCTCCCCATCTGTTGCTGAGGAGCTCAACTTCTGGCGCGAAGAGTTTGATCGGTTTAACGATGCACCATTCCACGTCCGAAACAGTTACGACGCTGTAATCCATGTGGACGCCAGCTCTCACGGTTGGGGCGCCACCCTGACCACGTTCCCGGGCGGCCTCGAAGAAGCTAGTGCAACCATGCCAGAGCCGCTACGAGCAACGTCCAGCACGAGACGGGAGATTGAAGGCGTCTTTTGGGCAATCCAAACGTATGCCAACAAGATCCAGAAAAAACACGTTCTCGTGCGGGTGGACAACCAAGGTGTATTCTTCATCCTTCGCAAAGGCGGCTCTCGCAGCCCCGACCTCACCATGGCCTGCAAGGGCATCATACGAACATGCATGGAGCTCGGCACGCGCTTAATCATCGAATGGATTCCCCGCGAACTCAACTCACACGCTGACGAGCTTTCCAAAATAGTCGATCACGACGACTACTCGTTGAAGACGCCATGGTTCCGCATCTTGGAACGTCGTTGGGGTCCCCATTCCATCGACCTTTTTGCAAACTCCCGCAACACCCAGCTATCGCGCTTCTGCACAAAGATCCCTCACCCAGACGCCTTCGCAATTGATGCATTTTCGCTCGCATGGACAGGCGAAAATGGTTTCGCGTTCCCCCCGCCCCAATTGGTCCCCGCCGTCCTCCACCACGCACAACGCACCCACGCATCACTCACACTGATAGTTCCGCACTGGCCGGGCACAAGCTGGTGGCCACTACTACAACCCTCCCCATGCACGTGGGCGTCACACATCCATGCACACATCCCTCTGACACACGGAAGCCAATGCTTAGCTGCAGGGACACATTCCACTGCCTTCTCAGGCTCAGGATTACCGCACAGCCCAATCATAGCACTCCGAGTGGTATTTGACTAATTCATAACTTCTCCGCCTTGTGTTCAGAATTGCTCCCAAAGCTACACGACCAGCTGATTAACATGATCGCACAGTCTCGTGCAAACTCGACGATCCGGACATACGAACCATACTGGACTAAGTTTCGAGCCTTTTGTACAAAGGTGAACCTTGCATTTCTCCCCGCATCCGACATGACCCTCGCGCTATACCTGGTCCACGCAATCCAACGTAAAGCTACCCTGTCCGTAGTACAGCTCACGTGCTCAGCAGTCAGCTTCGCCCATCGCATGACTGGGAGCACATGCCCGACGGATGGGCCATTCACCACACAAGTCCGCGACTTTGCGAAACGCCATTGCCCTCGCCCTACTCGTCTGAAGGAGCCCGTATCGATCCAACAAGTTCGAGACATGGCGGCGAGCTACCTGCTGTCTGACAATCCGGCGGAATTCCAGATTGGGCTGATCCCTATCCTCATGTACTCGGGATTTCTGCGATACTCCGACCTCGTGGCTATC